AGGAATGAAAGCCAGCTTGGGATAGATCAAAAAAGGATGGAAAATGTTTGACCATGTGTATGTAGTAACTCTTAGGAAAATCCCTTTGTCCAGCTGCCATCTGGCTAGATAAACTTTGGCAAACCTTACTAACACATGGCAGCTGCAGAGAGGTAATCGGCCACATGACATTGGTATTTGTCAGCTCTTGGGGGACTACACTCCTTTGAAAGCTGCTTATTCTGGCTCGCATTCACATTCATCCATACCTATTTTTATCACTCTTATTTATTCCCCATCTCTAGATGAAAATTGAACTAAAGCAGGCCCAACAGAAGTTATTAGACAGTGCAAAGATGTGCTCTTCACTCACAGCAGAGTGGAAGCACTGTCAGCAGAAAATCAAGGAACTGGAGCTGGAAGTACTTAACCAGGCTCAGAGCACTAAATCACAGGAAAACCTACAGGAAAAGCCGTCTCAGGAGAACTCTAAAGTTGCTGATGCAGAGGAAAAGGTAATTATCCTCACGCTTAATAAAGAACATACGCTGGATACCAGTACAGAAATCCCATTTCCTTGAGGATTTTAAGAAATGGATATGGTGCAAACTTGATATAATTCTAGGGGTTTTCTTTACTCTTCCATGCTTTCTTCTTTCTTGACTTCACCTGATCCTATAATTCCAGTAAATCTTGTGGGTTTTTTTTTTTTTAATTACATGAACTTAAAAGGATGTTTCATTAAAGCAATAATATGAGCTTAAAGAATTAACTGGGACCAAATGACTTTCGTTTTATACTTTCAAATTTTAGAAGGCTTATTCTCCTGTCATTTGGATTGGATGTTTATATGATTTTTATTTTGTAATTTTTGGAGGGATTTGTTTTGTGAAATGAACCATTTTGAAATATTGCACCTGCATTTTAGAATGCTTAACACCAGGTGGCAGTAGTATGTAGCAGTTACACATTTTGATCTGGGTTTGTCTTGAGTCAAATATTTTTAAAAAGTCATTTTATCAAACCATAGAAATATAAAACAAACATCAAAAAGTAAATAGCAGCAATATGAATTAAACTCAAAAGGCTAATGCTGAGCTAAAGAAGTCAGCATGAAAGAGTACATACTGTGTAATTTCATTTATAGGAAGTTCAAGAATAGACAAAACTAAGCTATGGTGATATGTTAGTGGTTGTCTTTATGAGGGGTATTAACTATGCGGAGACATGAAGGAATCTTCTGTGGTGCTAGAAGTATTTTATATCTTGGTCTGGGGGGTAGTTACGTAAGTAAAACCTCATTGAGTACACTTAGGGTATACACTCTTTACTGTATATGTTATTACTCCTTAAAAAAGTAATTGGTAAAATTGATAAAGATTAATAAAAATTTTTTATTTAGACAGTCTTAAATATTATTGGTGAGGATTCTGTGCAACAAGAACTCATTACTGACTGCAGTTGGAAGCATAATTAGTATAAACACTTTGGGAAGCAGTTTGGCATTGGTATCTAGTTAAGTTAAAGATGCATATTCTGTATACAACCCGACACTTATACTACTAGGCATAAATACTAGAGAAACTATTATACTGCAAGCAAGTGTCAGGAGACAGGAATTCAGTCATTTTCATAGTAATGTTCCAAATAGCAGAAAATTTGAAACAACCTAAGTGTCCACTGACATGAGATTGGACAAATAAATTGTATATTTACATAATAGCAATGTATATTTACATAATTACAACAATGAAAATGAATGCTATATATGCTGTAGTTCAATATAATATTGAACAAAAACCATATCACCAAAACCACAGTATGATTCCATTGATATAAAGATCAAAATAGCACAAAATATAAACTATGTTATATATATATACATACACACACACACACACACACACATAGTTAAAAGAAAAAAAGGAAATGATTAATACAAAATTAAAGATATTCCTTTTCTCAGATGGGGAAGAAGTGAGATAATTAACAAGGGTCACAAAGTAGATTTAAAAAATATTGGAAATGTTCTCCCAAAAAACAAAAGTTCTGGACCAGATGGCTTCATAGGCAAATTTTACCAAGCATTCAAAGAAGAATTATCACCTATTCTCAAACTATTCCAAAAAATTCAAGAAGAGGAAGGCTCCTAACTCCTTTTATGAGACCACCATTACCTTGATTCCAAAACCAGGCAAAGACATTACAAAAAAAGAAAACTGTAGGCTGATATCTCTTATGAACATTGATGCAAAAATCCTCAACAAAATATTAGCAAACCAAATTCAGCAATACATTAAAAATATCATACACCATGATCAAGTTGGATTTATTCCTGGGATGCAAGTTTGGTTCAATATTCGCAAATCAATTAATGCGATACACCACATTAACAAATCGTAAGATAAAAACCATATGATCATATCAATAGATGCAGAAAAAGTGTTCAACAAAATCCAGCATCCATTTATGATAAAAACTCTCAGCAAAGTGGGAATAGAAAGAACATACCTCAACATAATAAAGACCATATGTGACAAACCTATAGCTAACATCATACTCAATGGGGAAAGGCTAAAAGCATTTTTCTTAAGATCAGGAACAAGACAAGGATGCCCACTTTCACCACTCCTCTTCAACATTGTATTGGAAGTCTTAGCCACAGCAATAAGACAAGAAAGAGAAATAAAACACAGCTGAATTGGAAAAGAAGAAGTAAAACACTCATTATTTGCCGATGACATGATACTATATAGAGAGAACCCTAAAGATTCCACCAAAAAACTGTTAGAACTGATCAATGAATTCAGTAATGTCGCAGGTTACAAAATAAATATTCAGAAGTCAGTGGCATTTTTATACACCAATGATGAACTTTCAGAAAGAGAAATTAAGAAAACAATCCCATTTACAATTGCATC